TCCGTAGTGATTAGTGATGTTGAGCATCTTTTCATGTGCTTGTTAGCCATTCAAAATTTATTATTATTATTTTTTTAGAAATGTCTATACAAGCCCTTTGCCCAATTTTGAATCAAGTTTATTTTGTTTGTTTGTTTTGCTGTTGAGATTTAGGAGTTCTTTATCCATTTATTTATATCATCTTTTTTTTTTTTTCATATATCTTTATTGATTTCAGAGAGAGGAAAGGAGAGGGAGAGAGATAGAAACATCAATGATGATAGAGTCATTGATTGAGCCCGCAACCCGGGCATGTGCCCGGACCAGGAATCGAACCCCGATCGCCTGGATCCTAGGTCGACGCTCAACCGCTGAGCCACGCCTGGCTGGGCTATTTATATCATCTTTAATTGCTTTCAGCAATGTTTTCTAGTTTTCATTTTTTTAAGTCTTTCACCAATTTGGTTATTTTCTAAGTTACTTAATTTTTTTTGGAAGCGAATGTAAATGGCCTTGTCTATGTAATTTCCTTTTCAGATTGTTCATTGTTAGTGTATAGAAGTGGAACTGATTTTTGTGGGTAGACTTTGTATCCTGCTACTTTGCTGAATTTATGTATTCATTTTTTTTTTTTTATGGGGATCTTTAGGGTTTTCTACATATAAGAAAGATCATGTCATCTGAAAACAAGTAATTTGTTTTTCCCCATTCCAATTTGGATGCCTCTTTAACATTTTCTTTTTAATTTATTTTTCAGCCACAGTTTACATTCAAATTCATTCCACACCAGTTCAGATGTATAGCAAAGTGGCCAGAAAAACATGCTCTCTAGTCCCTCTGCTGTCTCAAGCACCCACCTGGCCCCATACCCCGTTATCTCAACACTATTGACTATATTATCTGTGTTGTAATCCACATCTCTGTGGCTGTTCTGCAACTACCAATTTGTACAGCTTAATCCCTTCATCTTTTCCACCCAGTTCCCCATCCTCTCCACGCCCCCATACAGCTGCCAGTCTGTTCTCTGTATCTGTGAGTCTGTTTCTATTTTGTTTGTTTGTTTTGTTCATTAGGTTCAACATATAAATGAAATCATATGGTCTTTCTCTGACTGGCTTATTTCACTTACCATAATGCCCTCTAGGTCCACAGTTTGGATTCCTCTTATTTTTCTGTGTTGCCTAATTGCTCTGATTAGAACTTCCCTTACTACTATGAGCAGAAGTGGTGAAGGCAGACATCCTTGCTTTGTCCTAATTTTAGGAGAAAAACTCTCAGCCTTTCACCATTGAATATGATGTTCTCTGTGAGTCTTTTATTATGTTGGGTTAGTTTTGCTATATTATGAGTTTGTGAGTTCGTTTGTTTTTTAAATCATGAAAGGATGTTGAATTTTGCCAAATTCTTTTCTGCATTAATTGAGATAATCATGTTTTCTTTCCCTTTCGTGGTGTTAATGTGGTGTATTAAATTGATTAATTTTGGTATATTGAACCACCTTTTCACTTCAGGAATAAATCCCACTTGGTCATGGTATATAATCCTTTTAATACAATGCTGAATTCCATTTGCTAGTATTTTGTTTAGTATTTTTGTATTGTATTCATAAAGGATATTCGTCTGTAGTTTTATTTCTTGTAGTGAGTTTGTCTGGATTTTGAATCATGGTATCCCTCAAACTCTGTTCACCTTCTACAGTCTTTACTCAGACTCAGTAACATATATTGTGCTGTCTTCAGGTTCACTGATTCATTCTTCTGCCTGCTTAAATCTGTCTTTAAATTCCTCTAGTCAGTTTTTTCATTTCTGAAACTGACTAGAATTTCTTTTTGGTTTCTTTTTAAATTTTTTATCCTTTATTAATATTTCAATTTTATTCACGTACTGTTTTCTTGACCTTATCCACATCTCTCTTTACTTCTTTGAGTGTCTTTAAGACAGCTATTTTAAAGTCCTTGTTTAATATATCTGCCAGTAGCTCTTTCAGGGATAGTTTTTGTTTATTTATTTTTTAACTTAGAATGGGCCATACTTTCCTATTTGTTTGTGTTCCTTGTTTTTTGTTTGTTTGTTTGTTTGTTATAGAAAAGTAGACATTTGAGTCTTATAATATGGTGACACTGGAAATCAGATTCTCTCCTTTTCCAGAGTTCACTGTTTGTTTTTTTGCTTTTGTTTTTTATCTCTGTAGGATGTCTCTGTGACATGGGTCACATTGAGGTGTAAACTTAAGGTCTTCTTAGGTTCTTCTGATTCTTTCTTTTGGCATGCATAGTCACTTTCTAATTTTCCCCATATATGCAGCTGCAGATGTTTTTAATGTGCTGATCTTTAATGTCTGGCTTTCAGAAGGGGAAAAGGGAAAAAAATGATGAGAGGAAAAAGGAGTCCTGGACTTTTAAATGCCCTGAAGTCACTTCAGCCAGAAGGTGAGGGCTCTGCAACAGTGGGGGGAGATTCAATAACGGTGGTTGCCTTCCTCTCTGTCTGCTTTTCTGTGACAAGAAGCAGCAATCAGCAACCAGAGCACAGATCCCTTATATTTGGAGTACAGGGTACTTTTTGCCACTCCAGCTCTCACTAGCTTCTGTATAAGCTGTTCCAGGAATCTGTACACAGTTGCTTGCCTTGTGGCTAGGGTAGAGGTATGGGTAGCTGCTGCTGGGCTAAGTTCTGAAATCAACTGAAATTAACTTCAGTTTACTTCTGTGATTTTCCTGAAAGTTGCAAGGCTTCAATAGGCTCCATAGTTCCAAAACAGTTACATCAAAGTCAGCCAGGGCAGTTGTCTAGGTGGGCAAACAGATTACTGTTCTTCTTACTCTGCCATCTTCTTGGCATTTTCTCTTTTTTCCTTCATTTTGAAGAATTTTAAGTTGACAGTTGATTTCCTTCAGCATTTAAAGTATATTGTTTCATTGTTTTATATCTTTCATATTTTTAATGATAAATCTCTTCTGTGCTTATCTTTATTACTGTCAAAATATGCCTTTTCCCCTTCCCTAGCTACTTTTACAATTTTCTTTCCCTCATCAGTTTTTCACCAATTTTGTTATAATTTTTCTTAATGTGGAATGTGTATATGTACTCTTATATGTATCCTTCTTGGTATTTATTAAGATTTTTGGATCAACTGATATATAATTTTCATCAAATGTTGAAGATTTTTTTGGGATCTAATCACACGTAATTTAAGACTGCTTGATATTTTCTCAGAGGTCATTCAGATAGACTCTATTGCAACAGAATAGATATTCTATTCTTACTAGTGAAAATTTCTGTGATTTCATCCAGTGAAAATTTCATGTTAGTTATTATATTTTTCAGCTCTAGAATTTCCTTTTTTTTTTACTACTGTATAGTTATGTCATCATTATATTCATGTTTTTCTTTATATCTATTATATAAATCATGTACATTTTTGTTTTATGTTATTTAATACCCTTATTTACTACTTCTATTATGTCTGTCATTTCCAAGTTTTCTTTATTGAGTAATTTCTCTTGGTTATGGTTACATTTTCCTGCTTTTTATATGTCTGGTAAATTTTTGTTACATAATAGACATTACAAGTTTCATAGAGTTTTACTCTGCATATGTACAGATTTGATAGTTAGCCATACACTAAAGCCATACACTATTTTCATAGTATTTATTTATTTATTTAGCATAGCTCCATCTTCTATGGGACTCTAGCGCACAAATTCTAGCTGTCTTAACCTCTCCTTAGTCTGATCTCTTTCTCTTCATTTCAGCATGGTAGCTGAGTGCATTTTAGGTTCTCCCTCCCTGTGTTCACCTGCAAAAAGGAAGCCTGGGTAATGGTAGAGCTTATTTCATTTATTTATCTTTTCTCAGAGACCATCATACTGTGTGCTCCATATTGTCCTTTGGCTAAAAAAAAGTTATTTCCCTTATTTTGTTTAGTTTTCTCGTTGTTTATGGGTAGGAGGCTATGCCTCAACCCTGTTACTCCCTCCTGGCCATTATAGGATTCTCTTCATAGGAATTTTAATAGGAAAGGAACAGAGATTTTTTCATAAAAGCAGAGATCCTTTAAGGCAAATACCATATAAGAGAACCAGGAACTTTTCTAATGATACCATCTGACGTGAAGGGTCTAGGACCAGAAATACTCAGGGCAGGTGTCTAGCTGGAAAATGGGTCGGAAAAACACAGGGGGATTGTATGGATGTCTGCTTAGTGTAGTGCTGGGATTTCAGGGCCTGGCCCCATCACCATCCCACTCACCTTACTCTCAGGTCACTACTGTCTTTACTGTTCTTTTTCTGTTGTTGTTAATCCTCACCCGAGGATATTTTTTCCATTGCTTTTCAGAGAGAGTGGAAGGGAGGGAGGGAAGGGGGAGGGAGAGAGAGAGAGAGAGAGAGAGAGAGAATGATAGATGGATGGATAGATAGATGATAGATAGATAGATAGATAGATAGATAGATAGATAGATAGATAGATATAGAAAGAAAAGGAAGAAAGAAAGAAAGAAAAGAGAGAAAGAAAGAGAGAGAGAGAAAGAGAGAGAAAGAGAAAGAAAGAGAAAGAAAGGAAGAAAGGAAGAAAGAAACATCGATGTGAGACACATTTTTGGTTGCCTCCCGCACTTGCCCTGACTGGGGGCAGGGAGTGAACCTGCAACCTAGGTACATGCCCTTGACTGAGAGTTGAACCCTTCACCCTTTGGTTGTAGGGCCAATACTCTAACCACTGGGAAACACTGGCCAGGACTCTACTATTCTTTTGATGCCAGAAAGCCCCTGGACAGGAAGTTAATCTTTTACCATCACTGATATGATTATTATATGTCACAAAAGATTGATCCCTAGGGCACAAAAAATATGAACATCAAAGTATAAATGACTGGTACTTAGGCCTTTGTTGAGATTTGGGAGGGAGTAAGGAACCCTAGTAAGACTTGTGACCTTGATGAACTTTCTGAGAACCCTATCTACCAAGGTGGCTGAGTTCAACTACCCACCCCTTTCCATCTTTCCCCCCTTGGCCTGCAGTTATGATGGGGTGCCTTTTCTCATGAATGACAATGACCTGAGAAGAACAACCAATATCAAGAAGGTCCTGCCAGATGAGTCCCTCACACCAGTTTCCTACTTCTTTTGGGATTTTCTGTCGACTCTGAATGCTGGCGAATGGTTTATACAATCACAGGTAAGACACATTCTCCAGCTCAACAATTCTACATTGATTCCCTCTCCTGTACAAGGTCGTGCATTGCATCTGGAGATAAAGGCTTTAGGTGAAGATAGTCAAGTGTACATACCATTTAATTCCAGTTTGGTAGCAGGATTATAGCATTAGCAGAAGGGCTTTTCCAGTAATGCAGTCAAATCTAATTACTGATTTCTACAGTCTCTAGAAATTCTGAAAACAAACTTTTAATCATACTATTGCCATTTAATTCCTTTTTATCCAAGCATTTCATAAAACTTTTATAGTGTGCTTACCATGTACATTATATTTTCCCAGGCATTTTGAGTAGCTCACAATCATAGATAAGGAAGATTAGGAAACATTGTTTCTTAATGCTCTCTTCTTACAATTCAGAAAGTATTTATTGAGTACCTATTGGGTATTAGATACAAGGAATGCAATGATGAATAAACATACACCCAGCCTTAATGGAGTTTACTGGCTAGAATATGAAACAATCAATTACATTACATTGTAATAAGTGCTAAACTAGAGTCAATTTCAGGTTGCTAATTTCTGTTTTATAACTCACCAAGTTTGCAGTAATTTGTTATAGCAGCCCTTGGAAACTAATACAGTCTGTATAACACATCTTTATATTATCTCCAGTTATTTCTATACCTAAAGAATTTGAACTTTTGTTCAAATTCATAGGAATTACTCATGGCTTTCAATTTTTAAATCTTTTAGGACTATTATATGCCATAATACTACAATAGCAAATGTAACCTATACAAGGATATCTGATTGGGAATTAGACTGATTTATATAATCAAGTTGAGTCACAATCTTTAAGTATAATTGTGGCAATCCACCACTGACTCACTGTATGTCTATCTATTCATCCGTCCATCCATCCATCCATCCATCCATCCATCCATCCATCCATCCATCCATCCATCCATCTTTTAAGGCTGTTGATTAGAACTCAGTCAAACCTTGGTTCTTGAAGGTCTCCCATCTTGAACAATTCAGTTCTCAACCAAGTTGTTCATGGTAAAAAATGTCTCAGTTGTTGAATATCCCTTTCATGCTGACACATCAGCATGACACAAAGTGTCTCTCAGACCACAAAGGAGAGAATACGAGTCATTTTACCACTAAACCTAAACCTAAATCTTGTGTTGTTAATATCTCAGGAAATTGTGCTATGAATATTTTTTGTGTTTTTTTGGCTTTTGTTGCTGGCAAATGGACAACTAGCACAATTTTAAACATAAAGAGGCCATCAAGAGTGCTAATGTTGCTAAGGGTGTGAAAGAAACAATGATCACAGACACTTGAAGAGGAAAAAAAAACTATTATTGATTTGGATAAATGAAAAGCAGCATTTCGGAGGCAGTGATATGTGAAAAAGCAAAGATGCTGCATACTGACCTCCTGAAAGACACCCCTGGAACAAGTGCAGAAAGTGGTTCTTTTAAGGCTAGTAGGGGATGGTTCGATAAATTTAAGAAAAGTGTTTGTTTATAGATTAAACAGTACATTCGACATGTACTGTATATAAGAAAGTTTAAAACATGGAATCATTTTTGAGTCTGGAACAAATTAATTCAATTTACATTATTTCTAATGGGAACAAATGATTTGGTTTTTGAACAAATTGCCTATTGAACAGCCTTCTGGAATAAATTAAGTTTGAGAACCAAGGTTCCACTGTATTTATTTTTTTTAATCACATTCACTTTAGAAGCATTAATTTCAGATTTGCCCAGAGTTGGCAAGGGATAGTATGTTCAGCATATTTTCTTTTCATTTCATTTTATTATTTTAAAAAAATTTTATTTTTTAATTAAAGTTTACATTCAATATTATTTTGTATTAGTTTCGGGTGTACACATAGTGGTTAGACAATAATATACTTTACAAAGGGTTCCCCCAATATTTCCAATACCCACCTGGCACCATACATGGTTATTACAATATTATTGACTATATTCCCTATGCTGTAATTTACATCCCAGTTACTATTTTGTAACTACCAATCTGTACTTCTTCTTTACCTCTTTCACTTAGTCCCTCAAACATCCTTCCCTCTGGCTACCATACAGTTTGTTCACTGTATGTATGAGTCTGTTTCAATTTTGTTTGTTTTGTTCTTTAGATTCCACGTATAAGTGAAATCATATGGTATTTGTCTTTCTCTGAATTACTTCACTTAACATAATACCCCCTAGGTCCATCCATGTTGTTGCAAATGGTAAGATTTCATTCTTTTTTATGTCCAAGTAATATTCCATTGCATATATGTACCACAGCTTTTTTTATTCACTTGTGTATTGATGGGCACTTGAGTTGCTTCCATAAATTGGCTATTGTAAATTATGCTTCAGTGAACATAGGGGTGCATATATTCTTTCGAATTAGTGTTTTGGGTTTCTTTGGGTATATACCCAGAAGTGGAATTGCTTGCCCAGCATAGTTTCAAGTTGTCTACACTAGTAATAGTTTGGTGGAGCTGAATTATAGTTACAGTGATGGTTGTCTAGAAAATCTTTGAGTTGGGCAAATTATTGTTTTAATTAAGAGGAACATGATAGGCTAAATCATCAGTGTATTACCTGAAGTCGATGAAGACAGAAGTATGACCACGAAAAAAAGAACAAAAGCATTCAAAGGCGAGTTTGGCCTTTATCAGGAGAATCTTTTCATATTGCTTTTTTGATGACAGCTGTTCTACTTCATATAGTTGTTTGCTAGTTATAAGGAGCTTGGTTTAGCTGTTGACTCCTAGTGGTTCTCTGGAGAACCTAGGTTTCTGATCTCTAATGGCTGTACCTTTCCAGTTCTTGTAGGTGGATGATGTTATTTTAGTTGGGAAATGTGTATTCAAGGATCAATTCCTTCTACTTTAACTGCTCTGCTAGAGTTCATACTATCTGATATGTTCCTTTCCAGTGATATTCAAGGGCAGTCTTTCTATGCGGTATTTTCCAGCCTGTTCCTGTTAATTACAGGACTGAGATATCTTGGTTAATCCTTTGTAATATTTAGCTAAATGAGTTTTTATAAATGACTGTTATGAAGTTTGGGTGGAGATATTCCCAAAACATGTGGCTGCAAGTGGCTAGTTGACAGGGAGATAATCTAGGACTTCCTGATGGGAAAGAACTCAAAACATAAGAGAAAAAGGGCAATACTTGAGGGCATGGAATTTCAAGGGTATTTTATAGTTTGGATGATTTCACTTTTCATGTATTCTTCCCACTTTTCAAGAGTATGGTGTGTATAAGGACAGGATATGTTTTAGTAAGGAGCAAAGTTTTGCATAATTTAAAATAAATATCTAAGTAAAATGTTTTCCTCTACCACAGTGTAGTAAGTTAGAATGGCTTAGATAGAGAACACAAATATATACTCGTTTTTAAAGCCATTTTAAGTTGCAGTTACTATTTAATGGGGAAATGCTTTAGCCCATCCATAAAATAAGCACGCAGTTACTAGTACAGATTCATTACCCACAGAGGGAAGAAACTGTTTTGAGAGGGTCCCTTTGGGCAAGGCTCCAATCCTTGTCTCACTTTTACAGTTTTTTCAGGATTATGTTATGATGAAGAAAAAACTGGTCACATTTTCTGATATCTTAGAAAAGTTTCCCCATCTGTGTTTGTTTAATACTGCAGTCAGTGTATCCCTTCTCTGATGAGTTGTGTCATGGAGGATTTGGGGAAGTATCTATTTGAGGTTAATTGGTTCTACCAGGTAGCCATCATGAATCTGACAACCTGATTAGTTCTAGTGTTTCTTTTCAGAACTGGGGGCCACATTTTCTGCATTAATAATGCAATTCTTGAACTCTGTATATTGGTCTTTCTTCTCTATAAGAAGCCCTTCCTTGTCTAAGGATTTTAGAGCATTCTGTTCAGTATAATGACCTGCTAAAGCATTTCTTCTAATGTCTCTTTTACTGTGGACCTCTACCTTTAGGACTGCAATTTATTTGAGAAGCTTCAAGGCATAAGCAATTTATGTAATTGTTATTTATTTTTAATACAGATAACTAAAGAGGTTAAAATCCTTTCTCCTATAACATTCTAAAGTTGTGAACTACTTCAAAAGCAAACAAGCAATCAGTGTATATAGTTACCCTTTTATTTTTAGCAATCTCACATCCTCTAGGGAGGGCCATATTTTGGCCACTTGAGCCAATTTGATATCTGGTAATAGATTTGAGATCCTATAACAGAATCTAGAAAAATTATTATGTAATCAACCTATTACTATCCTTTTTCATTTTAAAAATAAAACCTGCCAATAAACAATATTAAATGAAGATTTGATATAGGAGCCTCCGAAAGAACTGTTCCAGGCATGGACAGTTATCAAATTATAGGACTCGTGAGAGTGTCCTTTACTGGTAAGGGTAATACAGTTACTATATTAAGAGTGGACAACAGTGTAGTGATTGCGAGGGTGAGGGGGGTGGGTGGAGATGGAAGAGGGCATAAAGGGGGTAAATGGTGATGGAAAAAATAAAATAATGTTTTCAAAAAAGAGTGTTACATTGGTGAATGGTCATATTTGAAAGAAAATGTAACCATATGGTAACTAATCAACTAACATAAAAATATTAGGTACTTTCAGTTAACAATAGGGAGTGTGTTAAATGTAATACCATAAAAATAGAAAAGTGAACCTAGTACAGGATCTGAAGATTCTTAGGCTAGTTAGCCAAGACTGCACTTTCTTCTGAGGAAAAATAAAGCCTTACTTTTGGATCAGGGAATAGACAGTAATAAGCCATGAGCCTTTGATGTGTGCCAAGTTGTTGAGTTAATACCCTGATCTCCCCTTTTGTGTGCTTTCAAAAAGAAAGGCTTATGATGATCTGGAAGACCAGCAAAGATGATTATTGAAGAAATCTTTTGAGGTCACTGAAGGTCTTTGGTTTCTGTGTTTTTTGAGAATGGTTCCTGGTTGTTTAAGTCAAATCACAGAGGCCTGTCTATTTCAAAAGAGCTTGCTACCTATACTTTACAACATTAAGTTAATCCCAGAAATCATCTCAATTGTTTTTAATGATTGGCTTTGGATAATTTAAGATGATTTGTAATCTCTCATTAGATTATGTCCTTCCTTAGCTAATATAGCATGGCCTAGGGGTTGACAATCTATGGCCCAATGTTCAAATCCAGCCCACTGGCTGTTTTTGTACAGCCTGTGAGCTAAAAATGGTTTTTACATTTTTAAATGGTGGGGGGAAAATCAAAAGAATAATGTTTCAGGATGTGCAAAAAATATATCAAACTCAAATTTCAGTGTCCATAAATAGTTTATTGGAACATAGTCATTCTTATTCATTTATGAATTATCTATGGCTGTTTTCACAGTATAATAGCAGAGTTGAATGGTTGAGAGAGAGAGACTGTCTCACAAAGTCAAAACATAGAAATATTAAAATTTTTTCCTTAGAAACTTTGTGAATAGAGTTATAGTGTCAATCTTAGAATTTCAAGGTGGGTTACTGCTTATCCTTAAGATCTTGGTTAGGCTTGAGAAAAGTAGGATGGGCCTTCAGTAAATGCCTGAAGCATGACTTTTCCAGGTAAATTGTTGATTTTTCCCTAGTGAAGGCAATACACATTGGCTATCTTCATCAGCTAGGACACAAAAGAAAGTAGAAATTGGACCAAAGAGAGTATAATTAGGCCAGGCAGTACTAGGAAATGAGGCGTAACTCTTAGGTTAATAGCTCTCAGATACTGGATGGATCTTCATCTTCCACCATTTCAGCTTTTTGTTGTTGTTAATCCTCACCGGAGGATATTTTTTCCCTTGATTTTTTTTTTAAGAGAGAGCGGGAGGAAGAGAGGGAGGGGAAAAGAGAGAAAGAAAGAGAAAGAGAGAAACATTGATGTGAGAGGGATACACAATTGGTTGCCTCCTGCGTGTACCCTGACTGGGCTGGGGATCAAACCTGCAGCCTGCCACCCTTTGGTTCATGAACCAATGCTCTAACCTCCAAGCTACACCAGCCAGGGCATTTTTTGTTTTGTTTTTTAAGGAAGTAAAGCAGACACATAGCTTGGACTAATGAAAAGGATAATTAATCCTTATTATATTAAGCCTGTTATAGTTGACTTAGATCTTCCTTCAGCATTAAGAGGATTTTAGGCAACAGAGTCCATCTGAATTCTATGAGTTTGATTCTAATTTTTCTGCTGCTTTTCCCCTAAGGGGTTTTGGTACAATGGCCAATTATTTGGTTATTTTTTGAATCAATATACTAATATCCACCACTATAATTTGATAATGTGTGCAGTAGAATTTTCTGTGACTCCTAAAAATAATTTGTCTGCAGTACATTTTTCCTGGAGATTATTTTTACAAAGTAGATTCCTAATGATGAAATTTATAGGAAAGTGCCATAGAGAAGAAAGGAATACTTCTGACAATGGCCTCAACATAAGTTATAGGTTGGGACAATTAAGGGACTTGGGATTGTTAGAAAGTCCCACTACTTCAATGCTACTCTGTACAATCTGATTTTCTCTGGTATTGGGATTAGTAGTAAAGGTGGTGGTACCTTTTTCAACAAAAACTGTACTGTTGTTCATCTATAGTTACAGATACTTCTCAGATTATCTGTTGAGTGCTTGTTTTAGGTGGCATCATTGGGCAGACTTAGATAATTGTTGTCTTTCTTAAACAGTATGTATGTTACATTGAATCACCCAATGGCCCTTCCATTGTCATTGCTCTGAGCATAGGCATAGAGAGTTGTGGACCTTTTAGTATTGTTTTTATTGAGGAAGCAGGTGTTCTATGTGGAGAACTGGAAGCTTGTCGTCATTTCTGTATCGTTACTTCCTGGGCTTTTGAACTGGTCAGCCACATGTTGGAGATGGTCTAAACCAGCCTAGCCCATTCCAGTTTAGTTTTCTAAGTCCCCTATTTTATACGCAAAAAAAGAGAGACTTGATTTACTTCAGCTGTTAGATCTACCTCATAATACCACTTAAAGCTTATGGAATCTAGTTTTAAACTCTGTTGTTGATTAATCTTTATTGTTTTTGCTATTTTGAATTTTTCATCCAATTTATCCTTAAAGGAAAAACTTCATAAATGTCTTCCTATAGTGTATTTCCTATTCTTTTTGCCCATTAGGGGACATTTTAAAAATTATGCACAGCTTAGTCATTAAATCCTGTCTTGGTCTTTCCCATCTTGTTGTTTTAACAATTTTCCCCTCATAAAGGTGTAACAATTAAATGAATCAGTTGGTCTAGATCTGGTGGAGTCTAACAAAATCTTGAATCCTGAAGCAAATTTCTGTTTTCCTGAGGATGAAAAACACCCTCATGATAGACCTCCACTCAGATCTATGCTATGTTTAATTCAGCTTCTATGGTCTGCCTTCCAGTCCAGCAGGGAGATATTGTGGAAGGTGAGGAAGGGCAGCTTGTTAAAGAGGGCAGGGAAGGAGAAGAAACAGAGAGGGTGAGAATGAGAATGAAAACAAAGTTGTGCAGAGAGAAAGAGATTATTTGAGTTAAGAAAATGTGAGGCGGCTAGTGCCTGCGTCACTGACTTCACCCACAGATAATCTACAATCGGTAAATGACAATAAAAGCAGCCGTCCATTACATTTAATATAGCTAATATATGTACGGACTGAGGTCTGGGATGAAATGCTGTGTATCGCAAAGAGAAATGGACGCTTCCTGCCGTGAGGGAGCTACATTCCAGTTGAAGCAGTAGAGAGAGAGGGGACTAGTGAATTGTGCACTTTTCTATGTGCTCCTAGACCCTGTAAATATTTCATCATATTTCATATTCCAAATAATCTCGAGAAATACATAGATTTCCCCTCCCATCCCCTACTTTATAGTCTGGGCAATGAAGACTTGGAGAATTTAAACAGTTCTACCAATTAATTACACAGCAGGAAGCATATGGAGCCAGGATTTGAATCCGGTCTAAGACATCCACAAATAACTCTAGAAGGCAGATGAGACATACAATTAGAGAGGCACAAAAATGGGCCATTGGAGTTTAACACCATCCAAGTCTCTTTAGTTCAGGAACATTTAAGGAAGGCTGCTTGAAGGAGGTAGCATTTGAACTGGGCTTTTCAGGTTGAGGGTAGGATTTTAAACAGGTGAAGATGGCAAAGAAGGCAAATGAGTGATAGAGCTGGGATCGACTCCAGTTCAGTCTGATGCCAACAGTGAGAGCAAATATTGGAAGCCAAGGCAACTGAAAAGGGATTGTATTACCTTGAGTTATAGAAAAAAGCTTGAAAAGGAAGGTTAAGACAGGAACCTGAAGGTCTTTCAGTGCAAATACAACAGGTTCTTTGATATAGACTAAATCATTCCAAATTACCTATGGAGATTACATTTAATTTCTCTCCTTGGTAACTCTTATCTCAGGACCAGTATTTTAGAGGGCCTGGTGGGTTGAGTGGTAATGGAGCAACACATAGGTAGGGCTAGATACGGAGCTATATAGCAGGAGGATTGTAAAATGCTTCTAATGGAAGCCAATGCATTCTCTTTTGTATTTCTTTTAGTTCAAACCATTTTACAATATGAAACCCTTATCAGCGGCGGATAGAGAAAAAGCAAGAAAGCAGACGATTCCAACACTAAGTGATTTATTGAAACTTGCACAGAAGGAGGAAAAATTTGTGATGTTTGATCTTTATGTCCCTCCCGAAGACCATCCTTTCAGTCAAACGTTTATCCATGATGTTGTACAGGTGATCCTTGACTCTAAAATTGAGCAACATCTGGTATGTCTATCTCAGTATTTATGGTAGAGGTTGGGACGTGGGTAGCGTGTCCCTGGAGCATAGCAGTTGAACCTGACCGACCTTGTAGATCTTCCCTGACATCCTTAAAAAATTTTGTTCCCTATAGAAATGGAGATTGTTTCTTTTTCTTTTTTTTAAAAAAAATATGTTTTTATTGATTTCAGAGTGAGGAAGGGAGAGGGAGAGAGAGACAGAAACATCGATGATGGGAGTGAATCATCGTTATGCTGCCTTCCGCATGCCCGCCCCCCTTCTGGGGATGGAGCCTGCAACCTGACCGGGAATCGAACCATGACCTCCTGATTCATGGATAGACGCTCAACCACTAAGCCACACTGGTTTTGCCTTTTCTTTTAAAAAAATTCACTTTAGAAAGAGAGAGGAAGGGAGAGAGAAATTTGTTGTTTCACTTATTTATGCATTCATTAGCTACTTCTTGTATGTTCTCTGACTGGAGATCAAACCTGCAACCTTTGCATATTGGGATGATGCTCACCTGGCCAGGGCTGGAGATTGTTTCTTATAAGCTACATGTCGAAACCTAAGAGTGACTCACTTATATTGATCTCAGTGGGGGGAAACCCAAACCAAATGAAATATCAGCAATCTGTTAAAAAGGAATGTGTGTAATGACTACAGGAGCAGAAATATGTTCATTGTGTTTTTTGGAAGCAACTCTCTGCATTGGGGTAGTCAACCATTCCAAATCTCTTAAATTCTCAGAATATGGAAGAGTGCTGTGAATGGAAAAAAAAAAAAGTTGTTTTACCAAAGGAACTACTTGTGCAGATGAGTCATAATAACATTCCCTGTTGGCAGGAAATGAGCCCTCTCAAAGATGATGTTTAGCATCATCAGCCAGAGGAAATGGTTATGATTCCCGCGTTTCATCCACATCTGCCAACCCCTCTTCCACTTTGGCTGGTGGGAGGCTATCTGCACACAATGGGCCCTTGACCCATGATGTTACCTGAGAAAACTCAGCTGCAGAACAACTCCAGTGAAAGCCCCCTTATAAGAGTTTATTAGACAATATTAGGCCAAGGGCTAGAATCTCGCTCTGCTCCCTGTAGACTGTTACTAGTACTGTAATAGGGCTCCATCTATTCTATATGGGACTGTTTGTACCTAGATAGCTGACTGTCCACTGAAAGATTTCCTGTTTCTTCTTACAGATTTATTGGTTGCCAAGTATGGATAGGAGGTATGTCAAATGGGACGTTCCTGGTTTTCAGCATGTAGGCCAGTTATGGACCATTGAAGAACTTAGAGAAGAAAATGTCAGTATAATAAATGTTGACTACACGAAGTTGTTCCACAATGGGTTGAAGTAAGTGCTTGACCACACCTCTCTAGGCATGTATTGCCTTATTTGCACAAAATCTGCATTCTAACCAAACTACTTAGCTTCTCCTTCCCATCTCAGGATTGTGTGTGGCTTTCTTTTTGGAACCCCCATTCCCCTCCTTTTGTTCCTCCCTCCCTCCCTCTACCAACAAACATTTATCATGTATAGGCTGTGTCCCTGGAACATAGTCTTCAGCCCCTTCTCCTTTGTGCTTCAGTCTCTCATCATTCAACACATGTTTTTGTATGCTTGGCATTTCTCTTTTTCTATAAGGTGATTGTTGAAAAGTCAGAACTCAGAAAGGTGTTTATTTCCTCCTGCCATTACCAGATGGATTGCAGGACTTCAAAAATTGCTTTGTGATCCAGATAGCCAGATTTCTAATAGGCATAATTAAGAACATTACTAAATCATTATTTAAATAACTTAAAGCAGCCAACCATGAGACAAAACTAAAATTATTAACCACCACAATTATAAATATATGGTTAGAGACAGTTTTGAGAATTAAAAGCACCTGCAAATAAAATGTTGACTTTTTCAAACTGAACTGTTATTAATCACTGTTTAATTTAATCCGTGTCCCATTTTTCTTAGATTTACAAATAATTTCTTAAGATAATTTAAATGTTTCAGAGACAAAGTCTTCCTTGGAGGTGTGTGTGTGTGTGTGCACACACACACACACACACACACACACATATATACAAACACAAACTTTCCTTGGGTTTAGTAAAAATATTTTTAGATAACTTTCTGCATCTCAAACCATGAACTAGACCATTGGATGCACCTCTGTCCCTGTTCCTGTTTTTCCTGACATTTTGACAGTGGGATGGTTGATCATAAAATACCTTTTTTATTTTAGCATTGGAACATTGCGTTTGTCTTATCTATTTCCAATCAGAATATTTCTTTTTGCCTAACTACACCTCTATTGTGATTGTATTTCTCTTTCCTTTTACTTTTTTCAGATAGAAAATGACTCTAAGCCCTAGCCGATTTGGCTCAGTGGTTAGCACATCGGCTCATGGACTGAAGGATCCCAGGTTTGATTGTTGCCATGGGCACATACCTCGGTTGCAGTCTCAATCCCTGACTGTAGTCGGGGCTCGTGCAGGAGGCAACCAATCGATGTGTCTCTCTCATATTGATGTTCCTCTCTCTCTCTTTCTTTTTCTCTCTCTGTCTCTCTGTCACTGTCTATCTCTCTCTCTCCTTTCTAGTCTCTCTTAAAAGCATTGGAAAAATATCCTCAGGTGAGGATTAAAAAAAGAAAAAAGAAAATGGCTCTAAGATGGTTTCCTTTTCTTCTAATCTTAATTTAGATTATTCTAGTAGTTGAGAAAGAATTTTAATACCCTCTATTTATTGACCATTTACTGTGTTCATGTTCTGTGATTGGTAGACCATAGGAACTTTGTCAAATCCTGGCCTATTCATCGGCTGCACAAAGGACTTTAGCCAGTTTCTCATTTTCAGTGTTCTCATTTGTAAATTAACAACAACAGTAACATGATAGAATGGTTAAAAGATTAAATGAGATAATTCATATTATACACATAGCAAAATGCTGGGCAAATGTAAGAACTCAGTAAATGTTAGCTGCTGCTTTTATCATCACCATCCACACATGCTGTGCCGTGGGAATGACCTTCATCCCCTTCCCCTCTCCGCAGATCCTAACTCCTTGCAATGACCAATCCGTTCCCCATGTTTATCATTTTGTCATTTCCAGAATATTACATAAGTAGAATTATGCAGTATGTAACATGTTCTGATTATATTTTTTACAGATAATTTCCTTAGGTCTATCCAGTTGTTGCATGTAATAATAGTGTGTTCTTTTTTGTTGCTGGGTAGTATTCCATTGTATGTATGTATTAAAGTTTGTTTAATAATTCACCAACTTAAGCATATATGATTCTTTCCATTTATGAGCTGTTTTAAAAAATGTTATGAACATTTGTGTACAGGTTTTCATGTGAACATAATTTTTTAAACTAAAAGTCTATAGTTTACTCCTGTTTCCTTCTTTTAAAACATGTTTGAATTTTGGTAAAAAAACACATAACATGAAATTTACTATTTTAATCATTTTTAAATGTGCAATTCAGTGGTTTTAATATACATTTATAAAATTTTGCAACCATTACACCATCCATTTACTTCTTTTCATCTTGTAAACTCAACTTCTATACTCATTAAACAATAACCCTGTATTCC